TATAATATTTACTGTGTCTCTAGCTGAAAAACGCCTTTAATTTTCTAATAAAGCGCATTAACAAAGAAACAGTATGAACAAGAGACATTTTTATATATTCTTTTTTCTTTTCGTCCAAATAAACAGTGTTGAGTAAAAAGATAAGAATTGATACATGTATATACTCTTCTCAGTATAGTAGATTTATATTGCCTTTTTTCTATCAACACCGATTATCTGAATGAAAAGAACAAATAATATATACAGATGCCTCTTTGTCATACAGTTTTCTAGTAATAATCTTTATATTGGATATCAAATGTATAGTCTAGATATATGGATAATTGAAACATACGTCTAATTACTATACATATACTTTTGCTTCCTACGTACACACATACACACATACACACGCACGCACGCACGCACGCACGCACGCACGCACGCACGCACGCACGCACGCACGCACGCACGCACGCACGCACGCACGCACGCACGCACGCACACACACACTTACACACACACACACACACACACAACATATGCGCGTTTGTGTGTATTTATACATATATAATATATATACCTATATATATTTTTTTTACAATTACTGATAAAATTTTTTCTTTTTTTTTAATGACGCCTCAGATTTGCAATTGAATAAGTTATTGGAAACTATTACATATTTATCATCATCATTGGCTATTAAAAAAAGGACTTGAAATTAAAGCTTACATACGAAATTAAAGAAACATACGTTATTGCAATAGATGAAAAGAGATTGAAAATATCAGAATATCTGGAAGCAATTGCATATGTATAGATATAACATAATATCTTATGTAAAGAAGATCTTATTAGTAAGAATAATAAATGTTTTGATATTTCATACCTCATTTGACATTATTAATTGATACCTTTCACTTTTATCTTCTAGATTCTAGATCCTTGGTGATGGCGGATTAGAAGGAATGTTATTCCTACCTACAGATACCTTCCGTTTCTCTTCATTTTGGTGTCTTGCCTTGGAATGTTTAAACCACTCCATAATCCTACGCTGTATCCTTCCTTGATCGGCATCTGGGATATTGTTCAATATGAATCCTACAAATATTTTCTCTGGTAAATTTTTTTTATATATTGATACACACAGCGAATATTTATTACATTTTTTTGCATAATTGCTTGTAAGTGATACATATATAAATGTAAGATACATAAATGTTTAAAATAAATTTGAGATAGCAAAATTAAGATAGAGAATAAAATTTATAAAAACCATGATTTACACACGCACACACACATAAACAAATTAATAGATAAATTAAGAAATAAGTGACTATTATTTTAATACAGAATTGGAATTTAATTTCTCTCAATTTGATAAAGTAATAATTATAAAATTGTATGTACCAAATATTTATATTGACAATCATTTATTTCTTAACCTATCTGTTTATACGTATGTGTATCAGGAAACATTATTTAATTACTTACAAAATACTTGTATATAAATATTGCTGTATATAGTACGAGTACTTACTAAAAATGACTTTCATTAATTCCAGTTTTTGTAGGGGTTGTTTGATGCATCGGCCTTCCCAGTTATAATTTTCTGCCAATTTATTAGAAAATGTCTTATATAAAGTTCTCTTCACCGCATCATCGACATTTATCCCTCCAATAGATTTGATATATGCGCGCTGTAAAATAAGGTAAATATTGTTACCTCGTTGAATGTAATAATGTATTATTATACTTTCCTTATCAATTCCCAAATATTTTCAATTATTAATAATATAAGCAATTAATAGTCTTATAAACAAAAAAAGAAAAGTTTTTTGAAATTATCTAATTTAATTATCTTAATAAGAATAATTCATGTTTAAAATAAAAATGAAATTGAGAAAAATAGAGACAAAATAATATACAATATTTTTATTGTGGAAATAAAGTACCCCAAAAGAAAAAATTTTTAAAAATTATATGATATAACTTTATATAAAATGTATAAATATATATTAATAATATAATTGCATAAATTTGAAATTATATTTGTAAAGTAGTATATTATATTTATAAAAATATTTATCTTTTATAAAATATTAATGTTTGGGTTAATTGATTTCATAATTTGAAAATAATATAGAAGTAATAGTATAATATAAAAGATATAATATAAATATTTTAGCAACAAGATATATAAATTAAATTTTGATAGGTGGGTGTATACACTATATACATATATATATATATATATATATATATATATACGTATATCCATTTATTAAAATATAATTTTATATAATTATCTTGTTAAAATATTTAATTATTCCTTATTATTTAATTATATTTAATATAAATTTGAATTTATATGTATTAACTTACTATTGCAGCATTCTCTTGGGAATCACGATGTTTCAAGATGTCTTCAATTTCTGCTAATTGTGCAGCAGTTTCCAAAGGAAATAAGTCCTCAACGCCTTCAAAAGAAAACTGTGTGTTCTTGGCTTCCGTTCCCTCTGTTCTTTTAACAATAATATCTAATAAGGTCAGCGCTTGTCTCAAATCATATTTTATAGTAGTAATCTCTCTTGTTAATCTTCTCAAATGATTCACTGCAAATATAAGTAGCATTGTTTAATAAATAAATAAAATGCTATATAAATAATTTAAACATAGAAATTATTGACGTTGCATGCTGCTTGAAAAAAAATAAACAAAATAAAAGTATAACTAGAGACTAAGAATTTTTTAAAATAGAAATAAAATTCTAAATTCTTCAAAATTTTAAATCAGTAACGTGAGATGCTACAATTACAAAATTTATATAATTTATTCTTAAATATAATCATATATTGACAAATATATATAAGTTTTAAATTAAAAGTTACTCTTAAATTGCATTGTATTTGATGGATATTTACTTACCAGTTGCATCTTGTTGATCATTTAAATTATCATTTTCTTGTTCTCGTCGTCGGTTTCCGTACGTATAATTATATTGGCCAAATTCCTCCACTTCAGACCGATTTAATATATTTTCCTCCCTTGAGTTATACACGTCCCTATTTCTTTCGTACGAAATATCCGCTTCTATATGCGTAAAGCAAAATAATAAATATTTAATATACACACACAAATATATACATACATATATACATACATATACGGAAAGAAATTTCTTTTAAAATTTATTCTGAAAATCAATGTTAATCGTGGAACAATATAGTATTTCGACAAATTTTATTGTGCACTACAATAAATTTGTTGTAGTATATATTTAAAAAAATAGTGAAAAATACATAAAGTTCGTCAAAATACTATGTTGTCCTAAGATTAACATGATTTTCAAGGTAAATTTTAAAATCAAATTCTCTCCGTGTGTGTATACACACACACACACACACACACACACACACACGCACGCACACACACACGCACACACATGCACACACACGCGCGCGCACGCACACGCACGCACGCACACATATATACAAATTCTGCATAAATTCTCATGTACAAATAAGATATATAATAAACATTTCGTTTAGTATTTAAAATATATAAAAATTAGAACGTATAAGAATAAGAATTTTTTCATATTATAGATTTCTATAGTTTATAATATTTTATCAAAATTTCCATTCTTTTTTATCCTAATTCTTATATATTTCAAATATAAAATAAAATATTTATTATATATTTTATTTGTACATGCGAATTTATGCAGAATTTGTATAGATATGCATTTGAATAATAAAACATAATTTATACATATATATACTCACCTGCAAAAAAACCGGGCACCTAGATTTTAATAGGTACCCGGTTTTCTTGCCGGTGAGTATGTATATATGTGTATGTCTGCACATACACTTGTACATAAATTCTGTTTTATTATATATGTAATAAATATAATAAAATATATACATATAATAAATTATATACAAATATAGTTTATATATAGGTACATATTTAATAGTAGGATTGATAATAGATTACATATGATTTATAAAACATTATCAATATTTTAGTTATTTTTTAATGTTATTTTATGTTATTAATATTGTAAATATTATATGTATATGTATATATATCTTTAAAAAGTATTATATTGCCATGTATTTATTAAATATTATAGGTATGTATTAAATAGGAAATATTATATTATTTCAAATATTGTATATATAAAAAATTTTATAGTCTTTTAAATATGTATTAGTTAATAGCAATACTTAATTGTAAAATACAATACGATTAATATATAGGTAGAAAAATTATATTATTACATAGAGTTGTAACGTAGAGAGTATGTTTACCTTGCAAAGATGAATATGAGTAGGAGCTCGAGTTTGCGGCCTTTTGCAACTTGTATCTTTTTACAGAATTATACGATAAAATTCCACGTTTATTGGTAACAGATGTACTTGCGTATTCATTTATAATAGATGAATTTTCATGTTCACTTGTAATGGCTAAACTTTCTTGTTCATTCCTGTTGCATTGTCGTGGATCTTTCAGTACTAAATATTGGAAAAATAAAATATAATGTATATACGAATTTTATGTATTATATTAAATTATATATTACAATACATTTTATACATATAAATTTATATATAATAAATACAATAGCTTTATGTGAATTTTATACGTATTATATTAAATTATGTTTAAAAAATATGACTTATTCATTTACAATAAATATTATAGAATTGTTTATACTTTCATTTTGCAGGAGGACGTGGAGCAGATGGTAAAATTTCGCTTTCGGCAAGGTCTTCTTCGCTTTCAGTTGAGAAATAAATTTTTTTCGCTCTATTTTTTCTAGAATATCTTGTTTCCTTTTCTGACGTATCCATATCTGACGTGTACATAGCTTTTTTGCTTTATTGTCAGCTTCCTGTAAGGCTGAAAATATTTTAAATATTACCTATTAGTTAAAAAGATCGTTTTACAAGTTAAAAGCTGTTTTAATAACTATAGTACTTACTACAATACTCGCCAAAAGTTCGAATAATTTTAAATAATGCCCAATCAGAATTTGGTTTTTCTTCTTTCTCAACCGCCTTTCGAATTCTCAAGTCTGTTTTGTAGTGTAAAGGATATTTACATGAATCCTCACTTAGCCAAATTTTTGGTATCACTTGGATACCGTCCGAAAATTGTACGACGACAAATCTTTGATTTGACATCTTCCTGGAATTCTCAAAAATAATAATTTTTACTAGTATTGTTAACAAGTCTGTTTGTATGAATGGTACATATCAAATTTTATTGTTTTAAAAATTTGAAACAGAGAGCAATACCATTATTAAG